GAAATAATTTGTAGACAACCTAGTTTTTTAAAAACTATTTATCTAGTCATTTATTTTTGACTGTGCTGGGTCTTCATTGCTGCCTGAGGACTTTCTCTAGTTGTGGTGAGTGGGGGCTACTCTCTAGTTGCGGCACACAGGCTTAATTATCCCACAGCATGTGGAATCTTCTTGGAGCAGGGATCAAACCTGAGTCCTCTGCACTGGCAGGCAAGTTCTTAGCCACCGGACCACCAGGGAAGTCCATAGACACAGTTTTCACAGACAAATTAAAAAACACTTTTTAGACATGAATGTCCTGGTTTATCACGTTAAGAATTTCAGAAACATTACTTATGTTAACAGAAATGGTGGAGCTGGAGTGTACCGTGCCATCTCCCAGCTGCATAATGAGAACCACCAGTGGTACTGTGAAACTTGTCACCCTTTCCGAGGCCATGGTTCTTTAAACTTGTCGATGTCAGCTCTTGTAACTCGCTGTGCTTTTGGACTGGTTTGGTGATCTACTGGGTGTTAGGATTTCTTCTGGTAGCTTTATGGAATTAGAATAACCTCAAAGAATCTGTCTGTAGAATCTTCACCAACTCAGTAAGAATCCAGGACTCTAAGAGCCCCACAGCGGCATCCTGCTCACTCCTCCACAACAGAATGAAGGCTTCAGGCAAACTTTAGCCATGATAATCAGGCTTGCCGTAACTGGCACCCTTAGGCATTTGTGGCCAACACAGCTCACAGGAATCTGATACATGACATGACCTTGCTTGATCTTGTGTCCCAGTCTGCATGCTTTATGAGGCCAGGTAGGATGGAGGGTCCTTCGGGGTGCAGAGAGCTGGCAGTACTGCCAGCAGCACACCTTGAGAAGAAAGTGCATTACATGGGACTGCTTCTTCCTCCATAGCTCTTGGATATATTTGTAAGTGCCTATTTTGGCTTACCTTTGAGATAAACGGATGGCTGCCACCAGATGGAAAGGGAGAAACTTTCATTTAAAAGAAAAAGGCTGATAATTGCAGTATCACATGACCAACCCCAAAAATGTACAAGGTAAAATGGCAGCACAAAGAAGATGATCAGTTGTTGTGTGTGACAGGCAGAGAATGAGGCTCCAGGTTGGCTTTACAGAGCTGGTGATGCTGGGCGTGTGACCTGAGAAAGATGGGTAGGTGTTTCCGGGGTGAGGAAAGAGCATTCCATGTCTAGAGCAGTGTAATGTGATGTGGTAGGAAGCAGGGGTGTTCAGGGTGTGAGGGAACAGTAGCAAAAAGTTGGAGAAGCAGGTAAGCTCATGGATGACCTTGGTGTTTAAATTTTAGATGGGGATCCATTGAAGGATTCTGAGCAGGGAAGAGACATAACCAGGTTTACATTTAAAAAGATTGAGGCAGCAAAGCAAATAAGAGGATGGTGTCATGGGACCACACAGAAGGCTGGGAAGCATTAGTAACTGTGGCTTTGTTTCTATATTTGTTCCCCAGAGCTGTCAAAACAAAGCATCACAGACTTGGGTGCTTAACAGAAATTTATCCTCTCACAGTGCTGAAGGCTAAAAGTCCAAGATCAACGTGTCAGCAAGGTTGATTTCTCCTGAAGCCTCTCTCCTTGGCTTATAGCTGGCTGCCTTCTCACTATGCCCTCACATGACCTTTCCTCTTTGTGTGTGCCTACCTGGTCTTTCCAAATTTCCTCTTATAAGGATACCAGTCAAATTGTATTGGGGCCTATTTTAACTTTATTACCTCTCTAAAGGCTCTGTTTCCAAATGCAATCACATCGTGAGGTCCTTCTGTGGACTCTGAGAATTTGAACATATGAATTTGTGTGTGTTTGTGGTAGGGCACACAATTCAGTCCATTACACTTTGCATTAGCAACACATATGGAAAGGGGGCTGCAGACCACAGACTGATAAGGTTGTTTTTCATCTCATCATCAGAAAATAACCAACTCATATAATCTATAAAAGTTATGTATAAACTGGGCATTGTGATTTGTTCATAAGACTACTTTTGGGAATTCCCTGGTGGCTCAGTGGTTAGGACTCTGAGCTTCCATTTCAGGGGACATGGGCTGTATCCCTGGTTGAGGAACTAAGATCCCACATGCTGCGGGGTGTGGCAAAAAAAAACCACAAAACTTTTTTTCTCTGAATCCATGATGCCCAGTAGTTGATGCTGATACTGGTTGAACTAATGAAAAAGGCAAATGAGTGAATTTGTTATCAGCAGTGGTAATACACACTAACTGTGGCTCTGGCTGCCCTTAGAGTCTACAAAAAACCAAGCTATACTGTTAAGACTTGCCTAGGATGGGACAGGGTGGGAGGGAGCTCTTGCCTCTGAGATCCAAAGGACAGTAGTTTCCTTTTATTTCATTTGAAATTATCATTACATTTTTTTCTTCCATGGATCAGGAGCTCTCTGACAACCAGGTCTTATACATCTATCTATATTCTTGGTCACTAATGCAGTTTCTGGCACGATGCACATGCGCCATTGAATTCTGCGCAATGAATGAGGGAATTAGAAGTTCAGTGGTTAGGTTAACACTTTGGGTGCCAGTGTGGAGCCCAGATTAAACCCTTGGTCAGGAACTTGATCCTGAAAGCTGTGTGATGCAGGCAAAAAAAAAAGTTTTAGTGAGCAGAAGCTGTAATTCTGCACTCAGGTTTTGTAAGTCCTGATTGTAGTTCAAGATGAATACTTTTTCCCCCTTTTTGGTGGTCGTGGCAGTGGTGAACCTTCAAAATGCCTCACTGAGAAAACAGTAGCCATCAACTGAAAACTCCCTTATCCCACTGCTACATCTACAAACTGATTTCGATCTTTTCTCTTCTGTAGTTTTAGTGGAGAAAAGGTCCTTTTTTTCTAGGAAAGGCCAATATGCCCTGGAACCTACACTATCACCTTCCCCTCTTAAGAATTTGGAACTTTAGCTATTCTCTTATCTTCTACTTTCAACATTCAGTTCAGTTCAGTTGCTCAGTCTTGTCCGACTCTCTGGGACCCCATGGACTGCAGCACGTCAGGTTTCTCTGTCCATCACAAATTCCCGGAGCTTGTTCAAACTCACGTCCATCAAGTCGGTGATGCCATCCAACCATCTCATCTCCTTTGTTGTCCCCTTATCCTACTGCCTTCAATCTTTCCCAACATCAGGGTCTTTTCCAATGACTCAGTTATTTGTGTCAGGTGACCAAAGTATTAGTCTCCAACACTAAACATATTCTAATTTCCCATATTAAAAAAGCCTTCCTTAACTCATACCTCCTTTCACTTCTCACCCTGTCTTGCTGTTTCCCTTCTTCAAATGAGTTGTCCATCTGCCATTTTACCCCCTCATTGTCCCTTCATTCTTTGATCCATTTCAGTCTGACTTCCAGCTACGGATCCAATGAATTCTTTCTAGTCTTCTCATGCCAGACCTTTGGCAGACTTCTACAATGTTGGTCACTTTCACCTTCTTGAAACAGTTCCTCCATTTTTCTTTGATCTTCTCTGACTATACTCTTCAGACTTTCCTCTTATATCGTTGACTTCTCTCTCACATCTTTGGCTTTCCTTTCACAGCATCCTATGCTGTTTCCTTCTCTACCCCTTAAAGCAGCATCTCTCAAATGTTTGGCATCTTCAGGACACTTAATGAGAATCCTGCCAGTTTCAGGTTTACTTAAAATAATGATGAACATTGCTTCATGTAATGAAAGGGCCTTTTTATATACTACTCTCTCTGCCTTGAATTATTTTCTGTCCACTTTGTTTGGCTGGAGAGCCATCATCTTTTAGGTCTTAAGTCATTTCCACAGACAGTCCTCTCTGTTACTCTTTGACACAACCCTGTTTTCCCTCCATTATGATCACAGTTTTTGTTGTTGTTTAGCTAGTGATTAAACTTAAAATGTGTTGGGCCTGTTCTACCTGTCTCACGTGTTATTTTCACATTAACATCTTATGTATGTAGGGGAGTATTACTATAAATCCTAACTTTACAGATCGAGAAAGGAAGGCAGAGTGGCAGAGCTGGGATTACCAACCTAGACGATCTGTCTTTAGAGTCCATACTTAATGGTGCTAGAGTACTTATTACTAAAATTTATGTAGATTTATTTATTTATTTTTATAGTGACTGTCTCACTCTCTAATCCTTAAGGTCTGTGAGAGCAAACACCGTGTCTGAAAGGTGAAGCTTAGCTTCAGGAGTTTAGCGGGTACATGGTAAGTACTCAGTTATTTGTTCAGTAAATGAATCAGTAATTAAAAAGAAGATTCCGGTCTGGGAGGCATACTCCTCCCTACACTCCTCGTGACCTTGTAGAAACTGCCTTATCTCTTCCTGCCTTGTTAATCTGGGGAGTCGGAGTGGGAGGACTAACCCAGGTAGAAGAAGCGACAAGCTCAAAGGTAGAAGAATGGAGTCGGAAAACGGCAAGTGCTGAACTTCCGTTTCCTCCACTGGAAGACGGCATAGAGAGCACCGCGTTGAGATAAGTGATACGCTACCCGCTGCCCTTTTCTCCATTTCAGAGTGGTGTTGAAGCTTCAAGACGTAGGCTCCTACTTCTGTGAAAGAGAGTGGGCAACGGGAGCCCACGGTGGAGAGCAGCGGACTCGGCCACCGTGAGTAGCCTTGGTGCGGCATAGGGCGGTTCCGACGTGCAGAGGCGGAGTCCCGGCCTCGGAAGGCTCCGCCCCCGGGCCGGCGGAAGCTGCCCGCTCTCAACTCCCTGGTCTGGGTGTGTCCCCGCCGGCGCACGCGCGCGAACGGCATGCTGGGAAGGGGCCCGCGCGGCGGCCATTTTGTCTTATCGGCTCCTGGTTAGAGGAGGCATTTAGGCCTGCTAGGGACCCTGAGTGGTTCGCGACTGTGTTGCAGGCGTTTTCTTTGGCAGGTGCCAGGGCTGGTGGGAGCAGCCGCCCGAGGAAAGCACCATGATTTCGGCTGCGCAATTGTTGGATGAGTTAATGGGCAGGGACCGAAACCTCGCCCCGGATGAGAAGCGCAGCAACGTGCGGTGGGACCACGAGAGCGTAAGTCCCGCGGGCCTTGGGCCTGTGCCTGGGCGCCATGGGGGAGGGGAACGGCGCGGGCTGGGGCTCGCCGGGGCCTCGGCAAGGTTTGGGGCCCGGCCGCCCCGGGGTCAAGTGTCTGACCCAGTGGCTGGAGGGAATCGGGAGAACAGCCTAGGAGGGAGGAGTCTGCCTGGATCCTTGGTTAAGGGATGATTTATTGTTGTTTAAGTATCAAGAAAGTGAAAAAAAGAAGACTGTTGGCAAAATTGAGTAGCAGCTTAATGAGGCAGGGGAACGCGGGAAAGGAAGGAGTATTTTTGTACATCTAGAGGTTTCGGAGTTTTCACCTAGCTGTGAAATAGGGAAAAGGGCAAATTTGGCCGTTATTTGGCTGAGCGTCATATCGTGGCAGTATATTCAGAAATGTTTCATTTTCGACGCTTATATGGGGCAATACAATTTTAAAAGAGGTCTTGATAGGGTTCTCCGTGATTTACAAATATTGTTTGATAGCAGTACGGTCTAGTAAGTCATTCTTGTAGATAATTGTCAAGGCTTTTTCTTCATAGGAAACTCTTTGATCCTCTTAACCCTGTAAGGGTAAATGAGTATAAACCCAATTTCACAGATGAGACTTGAGAGGCTCACCTAACATCTTGTCAAGTTAAATGGCGAAACTAAACCTAATCTTTGTAGTCTTGTTCACTTTGCTGTTCTGTGAACATGGTGTGTAACGTTTATTTTAGATCTTACCTGAAGAATGGATGTGTAATTAACTTCACATGCGATTGTAATCAAACAACAAGGTAGTTTAAAGACGGTTGCTAGTCAAAACATGAAGGAATTGTTAAATATGCCTTTTTTTTTTTTTTAAAAGTTGCTTACTCATTTTAAACTTACGCTTTGGTCACAGTAAAATTTTTCTTTTGCTAGTGTTTGAGTAGACCTGTGGGGTGCTTCCCGATTCTGAAGTAGTGTGAAGTGTTACAGTAGAATTCTTTGTACGGGTTAAATGGTTCGATAATATCACTGACTCAATGGGCATGAAGTTGAGAAAACTCCGGGAGCTAGTGAGGGACAGAGAAGTCGAGTGCTGCAGTCCATGGGTTCGCGAAGAGTCGGACATGACTTTGCGACTGAACAGCAAATTTTAGAGATGAAGCTTTTTAAAGCTTTTTTCCCTTGAATTTTTGGTTTTTCCTCCTCAAAATAAAAATAAGAGTAACTTTGTTGCTTGCCTTGACCCTTCTGTTTCTAGGCATTTCTTTGTCATGATGAAATAACTTTTTCTTTTGCCACTTCACTCAATGATCTAAGCTTTGCAAAAAGAAAAAGATGAACTTTCTGTTTGACTTGATGTGCAAATAGGACGTTTATCTATTTTGAATTACAGAGAGAAAATTGCTTTTGATTGCGTGCTCATCAGCTGTAGCAGCCTGTTTGCCTAATTGGTTTTGAACAAGAATTGTGGAAAAACGTTTTTCCCTGGTGGTATTTTATTGCCACATTGCGTGGGAGGCGATGGGTTTATAACCTTAGCAGTGATGAAGTTCTCAGAAAATCAACTTAAGTTTTATGTCATCTCAGTTATAATAAATCTGCTTTCCTTTCAGGTGCAGCCCCCCTCTTCAGTGTTTCTCACTGATTTAAACTTTTGATGCTTTTGTCAAAATATTTTATGCCTTTAATGACAGATTACATTTCATTTTGGATTCAGGGATTTGAAAAAGTCAATTGCTGGTGTTTCAGATTTCTGTCTGCAAGAAGATGTTGGTACAGACCAGGAATGTAGCATGTGACTTTTTCTAAATAAGTTAGAATTATTGTAGGGTTTTATAAAGCTGCGGAAACTTGTGGCATCACTTCTGGGTCACTTGGCGTTAGTTGTTGGGTGTTTGCTAAAATCCTGGAGGAATGGCCAACCACAGTATATACTGTAAGGGTTTTTTCTTTTTTGGTGGCAGTGGGGGTTGTCTGCACTGGGTGGCTTGTGGGATCTTAGTCCCTGTGAAAAGTGAAGTCGTTCAGTCGTGTCTGACTATTTGCGACCCCATGGACTGTAGCCTGCCAAGCTCCTCCATCCATGGGATTTTCCAGGCAAGAATACTGGAGTGGGTTGCCATTTCCTTCTCCAGGGGATCTTCCCAACCTAGGGACAGAACCCGGGTCTCCTGCGTTGTAGGCAGATGCTTTTACCATCTGAGCCACCTGGGAAGTCCTTAGTCCCTGACCAGGGATCAAACCCAGGCCTTGCCAGTGAAAGCGGAGTCCTAACCACTGGACTGCCAGGGGATTCCCCCAAATATTTTTGCGTTCCAGTTCTACCTGGAAATTTTTCTTTGCCACACTTTCACTAGATGGGGAAAGCCATTTCAGCTGGGCGGGGTCCTTTTGTTTAACAATGAAATGGAAACTTCATTGTTAAGAATAATTTCTAGATTACCTGTATTAGACTAATCTGTGGAATTTGTTTTAAATGCAGAGATGAACTTCACCAGTGCCCACCCCCCATTCTGATTCTGTCGGTCTACAGAAAGGCCCCTGAAATCTGCATTTTTTGAATGGCATCTTTATGCATTCTAAAACTTGTAAACTACTGCTTCCTGACGCACTTCCTCAGTACTCTGTTTTTAAATGTTGAACTAGGAACACTTGGAGGAAACTCATTTTTTAAGTGAAGGCTGTATCTGTGATGCAAATTATTGACTTACTTGTAAAGATGTATGTAAGTAACCACTATCAGGGAAAGTGCTTTACTATACAGGTGTTTCCAGCTTTTGTAGATTGTTACCTTTTGATCTAAGAGAAACTGGTTTTCAACTAAAGCCATTAGCTTTAATACTCTTCCAAGGATTCATTGACACACCTCCCTCCCTCTTTGATTAATATTTTACATTTCCTTGAGATTAGTATTTTTGCATAAAGCAATTTGTTTCCTCTGCTTTATTAATCCTAAACAACCAGAGTAATGAGGAAAGCATGTGATTTTAACTGCCTGCCTTAACTGCCTGAAAGGTGTTCACCCCTTTCAGTTAGCGTCCTCATGGGACGATTTCAGTGTTAGAGAAGGCATTGGCAGCCTTTGGATAATCTGGAGTTGAGATTGTCGGGGATTGTAATCAACGTCTGGTCTGGAGCTTTTATTGTTAAATTTATAGCAAGAACTTTGTAGTTCAAATTGAGGATTTTATTTTGTCGTGAAAGTCTCTCAGTCGTGTCTGACTTTTTGTGACCCCATGGGCTATACATTTCATGGAATTCTCCAGGCCAGAATACTGGAAGTGTGTCGTTCCATGCTCCAGGGGATCTTCCCAACCAGGGATCGAACCCAGGTTTCCTGCATTGTAGGCGGACTCTTTACCAACTGAGCCACCAGGGAAGCCCAAAAGTGAAATTTTTTTTAACCATTAACTCTGATTCTGATATATAAAATGAGACCTTGTTCATCATTTATCAAACTCATGTATGCCCTCTGTTCAGTGAACGATTAATCATTGATGAAGGGAATTGAAATAAATGTTCATTTCTAAAATCTTCCCAGTGCTAACAGATACCATCACTTACACTGAAAGTTGTTTGGAAAAGAAGAAACAGTTAAGTTTACTGTCCACATTTTTTACTTGTGGCTTTTTTTTTTTTTAACATCTGAAAAAGGTATTCAGAATCTGAGCAGGAAACCAGAAGCATCAGAAGCAAAAAATTAGTAATAGATAGTGCATGACATCTACAAGTGTTTTGTTAGACAGTTTTAAACCATAGTCATCAAAATGTTTTTTCTGTCATAAGTGTAGACATTTCCTGCCTCACTGTATAGTACAGGGTAAGCATTGGGCTTCTTGGAATTTCCAGCAGTCTCTATGTAGTGTATATAATTACTGTTTGCTTTTCTCTCCAAAACTTGAAAACAGAAGTGAGTAGTGGAATGAACTCTGTGCATCCATGTGTGTAAGACACATTATCAGTATATGACCAGTATTACTCCTCTGTATCTCCTACTTTCATTATTTTAAGGCAGTTTTATCATTTCAGCTTTAAAGACATGTCTAAAATGTGAGGACTTAATAACTACAGTATTATCACACTGAAAATATTAAGGTATTTCCTCAATCTTTGGTTGATTGCTTCTGGAAAACCATGTCTTATTAGACTGTAGACCTTTTTTTTTTTTTTGGATGCCCCTTGTAGCTTTCAGGATCTTGGTTCCCAGATGAGGGATTGAACCCAGGCCCTCAGGCAGTGAAAGCTTGAAGTCCTAACAACTGGACAACCAGGGAATTCTCAGTGTCTCATTAGACCTGATTTCTTTTTTTTTTTCCTGATTTCTTAACAAGGGGAGAAAGTAGCTTAAGTTAGTATACAGTGCTTCATTGTTTATGAAATATGTTTAATTTTCCATTTCTTATAAGTTAGAAAGTTCCTGTGATTATTTTACAAAAATGTATCACTTAAAAATTTTTTTTATTTTTGGTTTCAGTGAATCTTCGTTGCTGTGCATGGGCTTTCTCTAGTTGTGGCGAGTGGGGACCACTCTTGGTGCAGAGCACAGGCTCTAGGCACTTGGGTTTCAGGAGTTGCAGCAGGCAAGCTCAGTGGTTGTGGCACGTGGGTTTAGTTGCTCCCCATCATGTGGCGTTTTCCCCAGCCAAGGATCAAACCTGTGTTCCCTGCATTGGCAGGCAGATTCTTATCCTCTGTGCCACCACGGGAGTTCTGAATGTTTTTTTATAAACCTTGTTAAAAGTTGGGACTAAATGACTTTGGGAAGTAATGGAAGGCTTAGCAGGAGAGAGATGTTTACTATCCCTGCTGCTGTGGAAAATTGATTAAAATTTTATGAAAACTTTGTGTAGGCAATAAAAAGAGTGAACTGTGATTAATTACTATATTAGAAAATTGATTTTTACTGTTTTATGTTCCCTCCAATTTAGGCTCATTAAAAATGATTTTTTTTTTTTTTTTTTACAGAAGTCAACTTGGCTTATATAAGTACACATGCGTGTGTGCATGCCAAGTTGCTTCACTTGTGTCTGATTCTTTGAGACCATAGCCCACCAGGCTCCTCCATGGGATTCTCCAGGCAAGAATACTGGAGTGGGTTGCTATGCCTTTCTCCAGGGGATCTTCCTGACCCAAGGATCAAACCCCCATCTCTTATGTCTCCTACATTGACAGGAGGTGTCTTTAGTTCCTCCTGGGAAGCCCATATAAATATATATTTAATAACTTTCACTTATACTGTGGAGACTGTCCTTGTAGGTACATGTAAATGTCCCTTAGTTTATTTCATGTAGATTATGTCGAGTTCTTTTACAATTATCAACCAAGTTGCAATGAACATTCTGGTACATATAACTGAATCACTTGTAGGATAGGTTCCTAGAAAGATAATGACTAAGTTAAGTGCATATTTTACATTTTGATGGATGTTGCCAGGTTGTCCCACAGCTCTAGTAATGTTTGGAGTGTTCCTCTTCCCAGCAGTGTAGCTAATGCCAGATTTTGTTTTTATTTTCCACTTCATTTAATGTGATGGAAACTCACGATTAAGTTTTTCTAGTCAGATTCCTGAGATTGATTGTATCTGCATTCTCTTAAGTGGTAGTAAAAAGTATGCTATTGATACTGAACTCTTCTGGTCTTTGCTATTACCTTAATTTATCACGAGAATCACAATTATGTTGTGATTGTCGTTCTGGCGTGCTGCAGTCCGTGGGGTCCCAAAGAGTAGGACACTACTTAGCAGCTGGACAACAGCAACAACAAATTCTGCCGTTGCCCTGCTCCCGCCGCCCCCTCTTCTGAGCCCCTTTGGTTATCAGATTGTTAGGTCCACAATGGACATTTAGTAAAGACTTGCTGAATAAAAGACTGTTAATATTTTTAGTTAAACATTCTCAATCTCTGGGAAAGGTTAAAATAAGCAGTTTAAGTAGCTAGGGTTTATTGAGTAGAGTAACAGTTGTTTTCATGTACCATTTCTTTACAGCAGTATCTTAAGCAGAGTTGGAGGGTAAGAGCACACAGAACAAAGAATTAGGAAAATAGGTTTTAATCTGTATTTTGTAAGTAGCCTCATGCCTTCTTGAAACTCCAATACTTGGCCACCTGATGTGAAGAGCTGACTCATTTAAGATTGAAGGTGGGAGGAGAAGGGGACGACAGAGGATGGGATGGTTGGATGGCATCACCAACTCAATAGACATATGAGTTTGAGTAAACTCCGGGAGTTGGTGATGGACAGGGAGGCCTGGCGTACTGCAGTCTATGCGGTTGCACAGAGTTGGATATGACTGAACTGAACCGAAGATGCCTTCAAGGCAGATCATGTGGTTGATGTCATCTCAGATGTAGTGATAGGACTAAATGACAGGTAAAGCTGCTGGCATATCTTTTTTGATTTTCTTGAGTGCCTGAAGACATATTTAAGAAAGTAATGGGTATTTTTAAAAAAAGACTGATTGGCAACCCACTCCAGTACTCTTGCCTGGAAAATCCCATGGACGGAGAAGCCTGGTAGGCTACAGTTCATGGGGTCGCGAAGAGTCAGACACACTGAGAGACTTCACTTTCACTTTCTCAGTAAACATACTAAAACTTACAGTCCCACTATGAAACAGTTATTATCTCCTTTTTTTTGTATTGAGAGTACCAAGGCAGAGTTACAGATTTAGTTTTTCATAGTTGAAAAGTGGCAGCCAAAAATCAAACTGTTTTGATTCTCCAATCATACCGATTTCCACTTGCCTATTTCATACTCTGCTGAGTTTGTCTTTTCATGCCTGGAATGTGTTGTCATTCATTTCTGAACCTAAGCAGTTCAGAAACTTAACCAGGTTAAGCTTTACCACCTGACATTCCTGACTAAATTCATATTTGTTTCTAGTGACGCATGTACTGATACTTAAAATGATGCAAAAATGAACAAATCAGACTTTTTAATAATTAGAAAAGTATATAGCATTTAAAAACTTCCGTCTTCTGCACATATAGAGCCCTTTTTAAGTTGAGGTACAGTTGATATATCGATATAAGTTTGGGGTATACAACATAGTGATTTACAATTTTTAAAGATTGTACTCTATTTATAGTTACCTTTAGGGGCTTCCCAGTAGTTACCTTTAGGGGCTTCCCAGGTAGCTCAGTGGATAAGGAATCCGCCTGCAGTGCAGGAGTTTGATCCCTGGGTTGGGAAGATCTCCTGGAGGAGGCCATGGCAACCTACTGCAGTATTCTTGGCTGGAGAGTCCCATGGACAGAGGAGCCTGGTGGATTCCATAGGGTCATAAAGAGTTGGACACAACTTGAAGCGATTGAGCACAAACATAGTTACTATAAAACATCAGCTGTATTCCCTGAGCAGTACTTCTTTGTAGCTTATTTAACTTATATTCTTACATATCATAGTCTGTGCCTCTTAATACCTACCCCTATTTGCCCCGCCTCTTCCCTCTCGCCACTGGTTCTCTACATTGCAGAGTCTGTTTTGTTGTTGTTATTTTCACTAATTTTATTTATTTTTCTAGATACCTCAAATACATACAGTGTTTTGCCTCTGTTTGGCTTATTTCACTAAGTATAATTCCCTCCAGATCTATCTGTGTTGTTGTGAATGGCAAATTTCCATTATTTTTCATGGCTGATTATTGTTCCAGCATGTATATTTACCTCATTTTCTTAATCCATCCATGTGTTGATGGACATTGAGGATGCTTTCCTTCTTTCTTGGCTATTGTAAATAATGCTGCTGTGAACATTGGTGTGAATTACTGTTTTCATTTTCTTTGGATGTATACTCTGAAGTGAAATTGCTGGATTAAATATAGTAGCTTTGTTTTTAGTGTTTTGAGGAACTTCCATGTGATTTTTTTCAGGGTGGCTGCACCAATTTACATTTCTACCAGCAGTGTACCAGGGGTTCCCTTTTCTCCACATCCTCGCCAACGTGTTACTTGTGGTCATACTGAGCCTTTTTAATAATTTAAATTATTAGGAGAATTTCCGAAAGAAAGTGGTACAAAGATACTATGACATATGGCTACATGTAACAGCATTAATATTGATATAAAGCTAAATCTGTTGTTTAGACATGATTTTTGAATCTGGTTGTTCTTTATGACCTTAGTTCTTCTGGACATAGCTTATGGAACCTCACTGCTTCAAATAAGTGTAAAACAATTGATCTTTGAAGCAAAAAACAGTATTTTAAATTCAACATCCAGTTCTAAATGTCTCAAAAAAACTCATTCAATCCTAAGTTTAGTAGACCTTTTCTGTGTTATACTTGTACATTGATAATTTACCCAATAGCACTGAAGGATTATATGGAGATATTTTGGAATTTTGCTTAACAGATTTTGGTTTGCAGTGTTACAAAATTAAATTTAGGATAGAACAGTCTCAGAATATATCTGAAGGAGTTACAAAAGTACCAATGCGAGAGAATTGAAAATTGGTCTCATGTTAATAATTCTTCCTCATACCTTAGAAGTCACTCAGTGCTGGCATGTGTGAAAATACCCAGGACACCTTAGGGCCTGTTACAAGATACTGAACCAGATCGCTTTAAATGAGTGTTATTTGGAATTTAGGCAGTGATTTCCAAATCTTGTGTGTAAATCTTTAACAAAGTTAAAACAAAACAATGCAGTGTTTTGTTTTTTGTTTGTTTTTTTAAATAAAAAAAATTACCTTTATTCTGGATGTCTTTATCCAAAATTTGTTTTTTCTAGGGAGTAAGGCAGTGATTTCTATTATGGTAGAAATTGAAAATGCTCTCAACTGTCAGTCTTGCCTTTCTTATACTGAAATCCAGGAGTCTGAAAGTCGTTAATTTGCCTAACTAAATGACTTAACAAATGAAATTGTTCTTAAAGTTACTTGGTTGAAAGATGTAGATCATGAAATGAGAAAATGGTTATTTGGCATTCTTTTCTGGCATAGTTTTAAAACTGATCAATTTCAAAAAGTTAAGTTACCTTTGTTTTTTTCACTAGGTTTGTAAATATTACCTCTGTGGTTTTTGTCCTGCGGAATTGTTCACAAACACGCGTTCTGATCTTGGTAAGTAAATTTTCTATAATTTTTATTGCATTTATGATTATAGAGAAAGTGATACTTTATAATTTTGGAAAGAAGTTTTCTGTTAAAGGTGTTGATAATTTCTTTCCTGGCTTTTTAAAAAATGTATTAACAAATGCCAGTCTGATTAAACATGGTGGCTTATTTGAATCTACATATGTATTTCCATTCCCTCCTGAAACCCCCTCCACTAAAATGAAAATTTAAAAACAAAAAAGGTGTAAACGGAAGACGAGATAACATTAGAGATGTCAACAAATTTTTGGAAGATGACAAGTGGATGGAAGAATAGCAGAGAAACCTGTATCCTAAAAGCCTGCAGAAGGGGATATTAAACAGAAGCAAGAGTTTGATCAGCAGAACCCTGGACAGGCTCAGGATTTGAAGGCATCAGGTACCATAGAAGGCAGAGTTGAATTATGGGGCTGAAAACCAAAGATCAGTCTAGTTCAGGGTTTCTCAACCTTGACATTAGACAGTTTGACCTGGAAAATTCTGTGTTTGGGGAGGTGGGAGGGTCTCCTGTGGGTTGTAGGATGCTTAGCAGCATCCTTGGCCTCTATGGAGTAGATGTCAGTAAAAATCTCCCAATTTTGACAGCCAAAAATGCCTCCAGGCACTTCTAGATATCCCTGGGGGCAAAAATGCCCCATGTTGAGAAGCACTAGTCTGGGTGGTCTGACCTGTGCATCAGGTAATTCTGTCTTCCATGCCTACAGCACTGGAGACTAGCGGGTTATGTTCTGAAGAAATTGGGCTAAATGAACCACAAAATGCAAAAAAAATCGACCATTTTCTCTCCAGGATGGTACATAACTAGTATCATTCTAGAAACATAAAATGGAAATTAAATTCGTTAAGCACAATGCTTGCTCTAAGGCATAAAGAGCACTTTATGGCTGGATATATCTAGGTATTGGGATTTACAGGTATAGGACAGGGCAGTGATGAATAAAAATGAGACTGTAAGAGAGATTAAATGAGTCTGTTTTCTTAATAGTGAGGTTTTCCCATTCCCTTCCTCTGCCCTGTTCCTAGAAGGATACAGCCAGATGTTTTTTCCCCAGGCAGAAGAGAAGAGGATTCTTTAGAGAAAGTGAACAGTTCCAGAGAAGTGATCTACAGGTACTGACCCTTGGGGAATCTCCTAAAAGAAAGTCTTGCTGCCTGATTTTCCTATGGTAAAGCCTGTTAGTTGACAAACCCTGCCTGTGCATACCAGCTTCAAGTCAGATTTTGGAAGTGTTTGGCCAGCCAAGGATTGCTATTTGAAGAAAACCTTCAAACATAAAAGATTAACCAAAACCAACAGAAAAAAAAAGAATTTAGTGGAATATGGTGGATAATGGGAGAAAACAGAAGAAAGAAATTTTTAAAGCTGTAACTAAATTTAGTATCCTCAGAGAAATAAGAGAAAATATCAGGAGGAATAGGATGCTATATAAAAAGAAAAGTTTTGAAAAAATTAAAAGTTCTTGAAATTAGAATTGGAGAAATATGAACATCAGTGGGAAGTTTTGAGGATAAAATTGTGGTATGTTTGAGAAAAAATTAAAATTTGAAAAAATTCTATCAGTCCAGTGCTGTGATAGATAATTAAGAGTTCTAGATAGAGAAAACAGAAGAGAGAAAAATCTTAAGATTGCATTATTGAAGGATTTTACTCTCTAGATGGAGTGGAATCCTTCTAGAACTCAGCATAGCAAATGATAAAAAGATCCATACCAAAGCGCATCATTGTGAAATTCCAGAACACCAGGGGTGGGGTGGGGCACACAAGATTATCAATCAGAATGTCCTGACTTGTCAGTAACAACACTGGAAGCTTGAAGACACTGGAGAAACATCCTCGGGATTCTGAATGGTAAAATGTTTTTACATAGGTTAGCTGTGTAGCCAAACAGCAAAATATGAGTTTGAAAAAAGATATTTTCAGGCATGCATGGTCTCAACAACATTATCTACCAGGAATCTTTTCTGTGGAAACTCATTGGTGTAAACCAAGAAGGAAAAAAATAAGAGATCCAGTAAAGTGTATCTAGTACAGACCAGAAAATGACTTTCAAAGGATGACAACTCTACTAGTGAGCTTAGGGGGAAAAAAGTAGCTCAGATTGAAGCAGCTCATGGAAGAAAAGAAAGCTGATTTGATTATCTGATATATTTTGAATCTTGAGGGAGATTATTATTGAGCTAGTTCCTATAGCTGAGTTAGTGTCTGGAGTGAATTTGGAACTAGAACATACAAGAGATTGAACTGAAGAAAAAAATTCCAGTAAGTGTATCAAAAGTGTTATCATAATGCCCTTTTTGCTTAAAGCAGGAGTTAATAGGACATGGCATCAAAATATAAACACTGAATGTTCATTTAAACTTAATTTTTCATGCCTAAGATAAACCAAGAAAAAACAAAATAAGCATAGAATTTAGAAATATGGAGGCAAATTCCAGAAGATAAAGCTAAAAGGGTTAAAATTGATTGCCTTTTGGAGATGGTAAGAGGTAGGACTAGGGTGTTAGTCTTACAATATTTACAGAGACTCTAATAAAATGTCAGTGGTGGTTCAGACCAAAGGTCTGCCATCATCCTAGCTTACTTCTTGGCAGTAAGGAATAATTTTTTCATCCCTCCTACTCCCTCTCTTCTTTTACCATATAGTACATCTTGAAAGCTAAGGAGAACAATTTTCATGTGTGTACTCGGGCATGTTGCTTCATGATTTAGCAGGCTCAATTTAGGTGTCTGCAGACTACTCAGTGATTAAATGGATCTTCTTTCCTTTTTTTTTTTAAAAAATAACTTCCTTTGTTTTGGCAAGAGAAAAGTTAATTTCAATATTATATTGAATACATTCATATTTCTTGTTGTTTTAGGACCATGTGAAAAAATTCATGATGAAAATCTACGAAAACAGTAAGTTACCTTTTTTGGGATCATCCCCACCCCCAGTCTTTATTTGCTTTAAAGGGGACAAGGATTGAAGAAATAATTGGAATTTATGTAAAATGAATGTCATGTCGAGGTCCTACTCATTAGTTGGGGGTCGTAGAAAGTGATACAGCTATATGTAGCATCACCATATGAGTTCATACTGTATGCCAAGAATAAGCCTAAGCTTTTTTTTTTCCCCTATATCCCACCTTTTTAAAAAATTTTTTGCTAAGTCACTTCAATCATGTCTTGACTCTTTGCGACCCTATGGACTGTAGCCCACCAGGCTCCTCTGGGCAAGATTACTGGAGTGGGTTGCCATGCCCTCCTCCAGTTTTTATTTTTTAGTTTATTATTATTATTTTTTGGCTGCTCTTCCCAGCTTGTATGATCTTAACTCCTTGGCCAGAAATTGGACCCAGGCCATGACAGTGAAAACACTGAGTCCTAACCACTGGACCTCCAGAGAATTCACCTGCGTGTTTTTTTTTTTTTTTTTTTCCCGTTTCACATTTGTCTTTTAACAGACATAATTTTATAAATGAAACTCGTCCTGGAGCCAGGGTCACAAATCCAGTATAGTGTTCACCTAGATTTGCCCAATTGTAACATCTGTGCTCTTGATACACTGTTGAATGCTACCTTCTTTACCAGGATGAGGGACAATTGGAAATTCACTTCTTATGTGTGTGCGTGGTTTACACTTCAGAGATTTTTTTCTTTTCTTTTTTTTTTTTAATCTTTTTTTGGCATGCCACGGGGCTTATAGGATCTTAGTTCCCAGATGAGGAACCCAGGCCTACAGCAGTGGAAAGCAGGGAGTCCTAACAGTTGGCCTGGGAATTCCCTACTCTTCAGTCTGAATGCAGTAGTTCATGAGATTAGTGAAGATAGAATATGAGAGTTGTAAATGGACAAAGAATTGGAAAGAAAATAATTTATTTTTGTTTTATTAGGTATGAGAAGAGTTCTCGTTTTATGAAAGTTGGCTATGAGAGAGATTTTTTGCGATACTTACAGAGTTTACTGGCAGAAGTAGAACGTAGAATTAGACGAGGCCATGCTCGTTTGGCATTGTCTCAAAACCAGCAGTCTTCTGGGGTGAGTATGGTTTAATTTACTATCTTTTTAAAGTGTCCTTTCCTCTGGAAACTCAGAGATTTCCCTAGTATTGAAACTTGGGCTCAAGTTCAGTAATTGCTTTATATGTTTTAAAATGACATAAAAACTTAAAAAGGGTTTTTTTTCCCAATCTTTATTAGTAAATGAATATTTTGCTAATCGGAAATTTTTTGTCTTAAATATCAGTAACTGACAAAATATGCAACTGATTAACAAAAATTGAGATAATTGAGTTACTGTCCTTGTGGTTTAGCATTTCAATTATTAAATATGAATACCAAGTATGGTATATGGAAATTTAAATGTTTATTTTTGTATTTTAGTTGTTGATAATACACATTCTATTGTCTTCATCAGGCAGCTGGTCCAACAGGCAAAAATGAAGAAAAAATTCAGGTTCTAACAGATAAAATTGATGTACTCCTGCAGCAGGTAAGAATTGGAACTCCTACTAGAATTGCTAAAATTAAAAAGACCGACAGTATCAAGTATTAGTGAAGATCTGGGCAAACAAATTATTTTACTCTGTTGGGGTTATTTAAAATGATGCAGGCACTTTAGAAAAGAGTGTCTTTCTTCAAAGGTCAAGAGATGCACCATGAGCTATTCCACTGCTAGATATTAATCTAAAAGATGAAAGCATATGTTTACACAGAGTTGTATACCAGTGTTTATAGAGGCTTTATTCATAATAAGTGCCAAAAAAAAAACCCCAGACAAACCTAGAAACAAATGTCTGTCAGTAGGTTAATGGGTAAACAAATTGTGATGTATCTATACAGTGTGATAGTTCACAGTGATACAAAGGAATTAACTATTTGTAATAAGATTGATGAATCTTAAGATACTAGATTGAGTGAAAGAGGCCAGAGCCTCACAGAAGGAATAGAGTACGTGGTTCCATTTAAAAACAATTCTAGAAAATGCAGACTGATTTATAGTGACAGAGAACAGACTGGCGGTCGCTTTGGGAGGAGATGCATCATAGAGACAGTGGGAGACGCGGTGGGTTCGTCTAGGATCCAGTCTACCCTGGAGGTTGTCTGTGTGCTTCCTGTCAAGTGTACATAGTTAATGCTGTGGGGAAAAAAACCGATTAAGGGTAAATCACACCAAAGAGGCTTCACTAAACAAGACAGGCCCCAAACAACTTCTATATGCTAGTGAAGCTGGAGGGTAAAAAAAATACTAGGACAGTGTGGTTAGAAAGATATCCTGACTGCTTTTTGAATTCCTCTCAGATTGAAGAATTAGGATCTGAAGGAAAAGTAGAAGAAGCCCAGGGAATGATGAAATTAGTTGAACAGTTAAAAGAAGAGAGAGAGTTGCTTAGGTCCACAACTTCGGTGAGTAGCAGCCCCATTTTGGTATAACCATGCTGTTAGCTGTGTATTGCTAGGATCTGTTCCTATTTACGAACAATTTTCTAATGTCACCAAACTTTTATTTTAAAGGGTCACGTAGTATTTATGATTTCAGGTCATAAGAATTGTAATAAAAGCTCTGTTTTTACATTTATGTTACAAAATAGCTTTAGACAATGTGTAAACAAATGTCTATAATTTTGTTTTAATAAAACTTTGCAAAAACGCCTCTAGCTGCTGGCTTGGTAACCTATGCCTTACATAGTTAAGTATTTTGGTTGGGCTTAGGTTTTGGTGTTTTTTTTGTTTTGTTTTGTTACTAATCAAATTACTTTATTACAAAGTCGATATATTCTTAATAGTACCTCCTACTTACTTAACTTTCAATTAGATGATACAATATACATGTTTTGGATATTGATGGTAAAATATAATTGAACATTGGTTCCAAATATTAAAAGGGTATGTTCAGATTATATGCAGTGAGTTCAATTCCTTAATGATTTTGAAGAACTTTTTTTATTACTTATTTTTATTATTTTTGGTTTTTCTGGGTCTTCATTGCTGTACTTGGGCTTTCTCTAGTTGCAGAAAGTGGAAATAAGCTCATAGATTTCAGTAGTTGAGGCACAGGGGTCTTTAGCTGCAACTCGAGGGCCTTACCTAGAGCTTGCAGGCTTTAGTAGTTGTAGGACACAGTCTCAGTAGTTGTGGCTTACAGGCTGTGGAGCGCAGGCTCAGTAGTTGGTACTTATGGGCTTAGTTGCTCTGAGGCATGTGGAATCTTCCCAGAAACCAGGGATCAGACCTGTGTCCCCTGCACTGGCAGGCAGATTCCTATCTACTGCGCTACCAGGGAAGTCCCAAAAAACATTTTTAATAAGGAGTCCACATCTTTAACCTTTTGAACCAAGCTGGAAATGAATTCAGACTAAAATAGGTAGCTTTCTGAAAGGTAGATTAACTTTTTCGAAGTGATATGGGTAGTTCAAGGGTTATAATTGAGGGATGGGATCTTAATACTTCTTGGAAAGTTGATTGCTGTTGTCATGCTTCCCCTGTCTAAAAGTTGCTGCTAAGTAGTATGTTTTTGGGGAAATGGAAAGTAGCAGTTCACAAAATTAAAAATCTTTTCTAAATGTTATAAATATTTTTGAGGGGGATTTGTTTGTTCTCTCTTGATCAGACATTTTATAATAACTGATTTATCGTTTCAGACAATTGAAAGTTTTGCTGCCCAAGAAAAGCAAATGGAAGTTTGTGAAGTGTGTGGAGCCTTTTTGATAGTGGGAGATGCCCAGTCCCGGGTAGATGATCATTTGATGGGAAAACAGCACATGGGCTATGCCAAAATTAAAGCTACTGTAGAAGAATTAAAAGTAAGTTTCTTAAGCATATATTTTAGCTATACCTAGTACTTTATATTAGTGTGGTTAAGAATTGATTGTATAGATTTAAAACTCTAATTGATATTTTTGCTGTGTTATTTGAAGTAGTGATAATTCCTGTAATATTTAGCTATTTATCAGATTAGCAAAGTGCTTTATTTTCTTTGCTCTGTAGTGTCAGGAATTTGGGAGAAGGAATATTCCTGAGGGTTTAGTCAAATATCTTCTATACATACATGGTGTTAAGATTTCTCCATTTCACTTTTAGGGTATCAAATTTCATAAGTTGGTCTACAGTTGATTCATGTTAGGCAGCTGTATGACATGTCATTAAGGTTATTTAATTCTTAAAAAAACAAATTTGATTTCCTTAGGAAAAATTAAGAAAAAGAACTGAAGAACCTGATCGTGATGAGCGTTTAAAAAAGGAGAAGCAAGAACGAGAAGAAAGAGAAAAAGAAAGGGAGAGGGAAAGAGAAGAGAGAGAGAGGAAAAGACGAAGAGAAGAGGAAGAAAGAGAAAAAGAAAGAGCTCGAGACAGAGAAAGAAGAAAGAGGAGTCGATCAAGAAGTCGGCATTCAAGCCGAACTTCTGACCGAAGATGCAGCAGGTCTCGGGACCACAAAAGATCACGAAGTAGAGAGAGAAGGCGAAGCAGGTATATTGAACACATAAGACAGTGCCAGGCATATAGTGAAAGTGTTAGTTGCTGAGTTGTATCCGATCCTTTGAGACCCTGTGGACTGTAGCCTGCCAGGCTCCTCTGTCCATGGAATTCTCCAGGAAAGAATACTTGGAGTCAGTTGCCATTTCCTCCTCAAGGGGATCTTTCTGACCCAGGGATTGAACTGGGTCTCCTGCATTGCAGGTGAATTCTTTACCTAGTGTCTGAGCCACCATAGTGAGTGTGCATGAAATAATAGTAATTACTGGTGAATTACTTGGTACTTGGGACCCTCTTAAGTCTCATTAAGCACTTGGGCGGATGAAAGTTGACTCATTGAACCAGTTCATCTTGTAGGCAACTTCACTGCTACTTTTAGGCCGCCTAAGGAGATTTGATGCAGTCTCATTAGGGAGTTAGTATAATGGATGAGTGCTTCTCTTATTGATTATAAGACATTTAAATCATAAATTATTTTGGGTAGGATTACCTATTTGAAAAATTGAAGTTAAGGAGTTTCAATTTTCAGTTCTTAAGGTTTCTTATATAAATGTGTTTTAATAGTAGATTGTGTTCATTTGCCTTTAAGAGTGATTTTTGCTTTAAATAACAGTATGTAATTCTTCAAGGTTTTTTGTCACTGTAATATCAGCTGAAGTTGCTCTCCTTTTGTTTCAAATTATTTAAGAAGTAGAGATCGACGAAGAAGCAGAAGCCATGATAGATCAGAAAGAAAGCATAGATCTCGTAGTTGGGATCGAAGAAGATCAAAAAGCCAAGATCGAAAGTCATATAAGCACCGGAGCAAAAGTCGAGACAGAGAACAAGATAGAAAATCAAAGGAGAAAGGTTAGTTTTTGTGAGAATTTGATTCTTTAAGGGGCCATTTTCACTTTGTCTCCTCACTAACTCACTTTTCTTTAGACACAAGCAGAGTTCCACTTCAGGCTATATTTATTTTTACTTTCGATGAACCCCATTCAATAGGAGACAAGTCTTTATTGTCCCTTCTCCTGCTGATTTATGAGAATGACAGTTGACCTTGTGTTTTCTTAGAACATGTTAAAGCTGCATATTTCAATTATATCTTCAAGGCGTATCATTTAGATTTTTCCAAGTATTGCATTACCTGTTAGGATTATTAGGCTATAGAATTCTTGGTTACTGCAACATTTTTTATTTTTTTTTTTGACAACACTTGCTGCAGTGTTCCATAATATTTTGAAGAGTAAATGTACGGTATTGCATTGGTCTTCAAGTACAGCATTTACAGTACTTCTGAGTTTGCATAAGTTGAATGCCTTATATGTGCGTGCCATGCCCCCTCCCCCCCAGTGTGCCCCTTTTTTTATTGAAACATGCTTTTTCCCATCTATTTTTTCCTTTGATTTTCTGTGGCATCCCAATAGCTGGTTGACTGCACTGTTAATCGACTTTTCATTTTCTCTTTGGCATGTTTTCACATTTTCATCTTTCAACTTAGCCTTCATTGAACGATGAACGATAATTCTTTTAATCATTAGGGTCCCATTTCTGCATATTCTTCAGATTCTTTGTACACCTGTTTTTTTTTTTTTTTTTGGACTGGGCTATTCTGCTTTGCATGGTTTTCAGGAATGAGAGAAAGGGCTTATTTCTAATTTTCTTGGCTCTGCTTATTCCATCCTGTTCTGCCTGTCTGTGTCCATGTTTGATCACCAACATGTGTGCTTATGTATGGATTTATTATATTAGACCTGTATATGATACTCATTATTTTCTTTTATGAAACTAGTCTGGTTTTTGTGGGGTTAACTGAGTTGAGTTAGGAAACCAGCACAAACAATGGATTATCTTTTTTTTCCCTTCTTTCTTCAGCTTTTATTTTTCCTCAAATAAGTGCACCTTTTCTTTTTAAAATATTTAGATATATTGGCTTTTTCTAGAACATGGAGCAAATGTTAAAAAGTAGGAAATGGTGATTTTTAAAACTTCCATGAGCTTTAGTATCTGCCATTTAAGTTCAGAAGTTATTTTTGTGATTCAAAAGGCAATTGATACCAAGAATTAACTGACTTCTATTAGTTTTTAAGTAAGCTTCACTCAGCCTTTTGGCAAGACTTTCTGTATAATGTATTTGGGGGGTCAGCCCTCAACAACCAGATATATCTCTTGTCAGAGATAAAAGTAATCACTTTGAGAATTAAAGCTCTTCACTGTATCTTCATTTGTGTCACTTAAAATACTTGGATTAGTTCTCAGGGACAGAAACTAGGCAGCTTTTATAACTATTTAGGATCAAAATTGAGCTATAAATTGCACTGGCCTGACTTAAACAGTTTGTGTAATTTTTGGAGAGAGCAGAGAGGATGAATTGCCAAGCTATGATCCTTATTACAATGATGACATCATAGAATATAATCAGACTTGTTTACATAAACTGCATTGTGTTTAGATTATGGACAAATGGGTTTTCCTGGTGAGATGTGGAGGAAGGAGTGAAGACTTGATTCAGGGAAAACTCTGCCTCTGGTCTATCTTGAAAGATTGGGTTTGCCATTGTAGATTTATTTTAAATGTTGGGATCTCTTTTAAAAGTGACATAATTTATTGATTTTTTCAAATAACCATGTGGCCAGTTAGCCATTCTTATATATATAACTGAAGGCCTGAACTTTGAGGTCAGATATGAGTAGTAGTGAACATTGGAAATGACAGTGAGTAAGAGGGAGCCCACGTGCTGTAATGAAAGCACTTCATCTCACTCCACAAACAAAAAGTGGTTTCTTGCACAAAACTATCTTTGTTAACACCAACCAGTTTAGGGTGCTCTCTTTTGTCAAGAGAGGTTCCTTTTTTAATCCATAGCCCTGAAGTCCACCACACTTTGTGGATGTCCTTAGGACTATTAAGATCTACCATATTTATATAGGGCAGAAGATAAGATTATTGGACTGACTACTAGTCCTCTACGGGGCAACAAGACGACTCTTCCTCATTGAAGCTACCTGTGCACCGGAGAAGCCCATAAGGCACAAAGGGAGGACTTTCCCACAAGGTCAGTTAGAGCACACTGTACTGGCACAGTTCTCCTAAGTGAACAGACAAGACATGAAGCAAGTCCTGCAGTCAGCTACTTGGACATTGCTTTGTGAATTTGGCAAGTGTTATGGACTGAATATATTCCTTCACATAAGATCTTCAATTCTTAATGTTCTTTGAGTGAGTGCCCCCCAACACCCCCATAAACATACTTTTTTGTTACCATCCCTCTCCCAGTTATTTGATGTTGCGTCTTAACAACTTTGTCTAGAATCTGTAGAGGGTTCCGCTTCTCTTAAAACATCTTTCTGTCTTATCATCTATTCTGTTAGACTAGCTATGCTTAGTTTTAAAGAGAAAGATGATTTTTCCAGGTTTGTAGTTTGCTTTAAAATTTTCTGTAGAAATCTTTTGTTAGGCAGTACTTGGAACTGACAAAGCTAGAACATAACTTGCTCCATGTACCACTTTTTGCCTCTAGTCTCTAGTTTGACCATTCCAAAGAAAACAGAAGGAAAATTTGACCTTTTTTCACCCTTTATTTGCAGCTGAGGTGAATTTTTATTTCTGTCTTTGGAAAAAATAATTTTGAGATGGCGTATGTGTTACTTAGTGAAGCACAAAATTTCAGTAATTGAAATGGGATTTAAGATCCACTTTGATTGGTGTTGTCCCTCTTGGGTCTTCAAATATATTATAGGTATAAGTCATCTTTTGCATTTAAAAATATATAGTTGCAGAAGCATGCCTATAAGTGTTCACCTTTTGCAGTTACTGTTTTTACCTTTTAACTTAGTTCATTTGAACACAGTTTTTTGTACTATCTTTCTTGCCTTTCCCTTTGCCTTTTGATGGTCTTTACTCCAAATGAAATTTACTTAACTTTTAGATTCTGCAGTGATTTGGTGTTGCCTGTGCATATCACCAGTTTGAGAGAATTTGCCCACTATTTTTACCTTTTGCTTTCTGTAATTCCCTGTCCTGCCCTCTCCCTCCTTTATAAATTGCAAATTTTATCCCTTTGATAGATTTATCAAACTGTGTTACTTGAAGTCTGTAGGAAATGATTGTCTTTTCATCTCTAAATTGTTTTCACTTTTCAACGTGTCATATATGTTTTGTATTTTACTTTAAAATCCATGATCAATGTCTTCTTTTATGGCAGAAAAGAGGGGATCTGATGATAAAAAAAGTAGTGTGAAGTCCAGTAGTCGAGAAAAGCAGAGTGAAGACACAAACACTGACTCAAAGGAAAGTGATACTAAGAATGAGGTCAATGGGACCAGTGAAGACATTAAATCTGAAGGTGACACTCAGTCCAATTAAAACTGATCTGATAAGACCTCAGATCAGACAGAGGTAAGTGTATTGTTTCTCACTTTGATTAGGGCTTTTTGTTACTGTTTGACAGTGCAGCGTAAGTATGCACAGATGAAGATGGAACTAAGCCGAGTAAGAAGACATACAAAAGCATCTTCTGAAGGAAAAGACAGTGTAGTCCTGCAAAACATTTTGAGGTACATTGTTTTGTCTCAGCTATTTTGTAGCAGACTCGTGCCCCCCGTTAGTGTGCCTCTTTGCAAATTATTGCCCACGTTTGTAATATAGTCGCCATTGAAAAGTTAATTATCCTTTTTTTAGGGATTTTGCTGTCATTTCTTGTTTTTTTTCTTTTTTTTAATAAAAAGGTTGAACTGTTTTTTATTTTTTTTCTTTTTGGTATTAAGTCCATCTTGTGTTGGTACATTGGCAGAGACATATGCTTTAAAACTTAAATATTTCTGAGGCACATGTTGGACTACTTTGTTTTAATTAAACTGCTAGTATTTCTTTGTCAAGGATGTTTCTAGTTTTTTGCTTTATTGCCTTGCATTCTAATGCAGTTTGTTCTGTAACTCGAGAGCCAGTAGCATTGGATTGATGGAAGTGTAGGGTTTATGAATTATTGCAGCTGACTACCATACCTCACACAGCGTTGGTGTTGTGAGCGGCCCATGAAAAGCCAAATTAAAAATCAAGGATTCAGTCAAACTAAGCAGGTACTCATGCCAGGTACTCCTTTCTCTACCCACATCCATGTTTGAATGCTATTGCCTGTGATCTTTACGCTTAACTGTTGTGTATCTTTTTGTTCTTTACAAGAAGCACAGAGGGGTTTTTTGTGTATTGCGTGAAAACTTATAAATCAGATGTTAACAGAATGGAATTTTTTTTCAACTGTGTGTAGGGATGCAGTGGTGCCCAGAATTAGATATCTTTAAAGAATTTTAAATACAATAAACACTTCATATTATTCGCCTTGTTACATTCAATGCAATTCTCAAGTCTTTAAGAGGTATGTTGTATTTAATATTTCCTACTGTGTAGGAGAATTTGCAGTCAGCCATAGGTATATTAGGAATAATCACTGGCTGATACATTTAAAGCAGCAGTGAATAGCAAGGACAGACACCTTTAAACAGAAACACAAAGAACTGATGAACCATGTAGAATGAATTTGGGTTTTTAAAGAACTATTAAAAGTCAGTCTTTTTGAGGGTTCTTGAAACCTGTAAACTGTTCATTCTTTGGGCTAGTGGCATGGGATTCAATATTCCTAATGAAAGGAAGTACCAATTAGTTGAATTGTTGATGACCTTCCTTTTCTAGGATAGCAATATAGTGTTATATTTGTGTGAGCCATTCACATAGAGGCAAGCATACACAGGCACATGGTTTTAAAAAACCACACTGATGCCTTGATAATTGAAAAGAATACAAACATTCCATATACATATATTAATTAGCAGCTAGTGACTGGGCCACTTAGTCATGAAAATTTGCCTTATACATGTTGTCTAATTATCATTTTTCCGCAAATTTTGCTTTGTAGGAATACTGTTGGAAGATTTTTGGAAGAAAACTGAAAACGGCATAAAGTGAAGATCGACATTAAAATGAGGTGAAAGAAAACTATAGTGGCATAGAAAAAGTATAAAGCTCGGTTAGTTTGTTTGTTTTTTTTAATTAAAAATTAATTCAGGACTGATGTGACCTATCAGATTTCAGAACATGTATTAATAGCATATATATGCCACTGAAAACTTAGGTCTTGTATCATATCTTTTTCTTTAAGACTTTTTAAGAAATATTACCTAAACATGTGGCTTGCTCAGTGTTTAACTGCAAGTTTTCATTCTTGGGACTTTGAAAATGAGATTAAACGTTAATATTTGTGTGAATCAGACTAAGTGGGATTCCATTTTTACAACTCTGCTATACCTAGCCTTTGGATTTAGAAGTGAAAATAAAGTATCTCCGACTTTCTGTTACAGATTTGTCTCTTTGTCATTGAAAAGTTTTAGTATTAATCTTTTTTTAATAAAGTTATTGACTCTGAACTAGTCCCTTGTTTTAAATATGAGATACGCTGTTACTAGAGATCTTGGTGTACAGTTTTATCTGATTTGTTCTGTTTAAGACTAATTTTTATAGAATTTCCACAGTTTAAATGTTTTAAATAATGGTGCTTCAATTTTTAGTAGTTATGAATACATTTGGATTTTGCTTTTAGTAACAAAGATATACAATGAACTGGAATATATTTTTACATCCCTGAGAGATTTCTTTAGTAGTACAAGATTCAAAATATCCTTCTGACAAACACTTATCATCCTCTAGCTGTGAAATAATGATGTAGAAAAGCATTCAGACACTTTTAGCTGTTTTTTTGTCTTAGAAATCCTGTGTCAAGATTTTTTTAACCTGGTCTTATAAATATATTTATTTCTGTGTGTGGAGTGTATCACATCAAACAAGGATTTTTTTTAAATGCTTAAGGTAATGGGAGTGTGTGTGGGGGTCATGTTCGGCAAATTTGGCAGCACATTTCTAGCTATAGCCAGCTTGTCGATTGTATAAAAGTATTACTAGCTCCAGCTGCATGTGTCATAGTTCATACAAATCAGTTCTTCATGATTTATAATTTTCAAATATTGCTATCAGTTTATAGGTAAACAAACTTGAGTTGGTGCATTAAGTGACTTACCTGATGTCTTATAACTTCATGTTGATGGAAAAACTAGCACATGGAATCTAGGTCTCCACCTCATGGTCCACTGCCTCACTTTATGCCACTGTAGTTGTTCTAATAGGCTTAATAATAGGCTACAGAATTTACTAAAATACCCTCCACCAAGCTTTGGAAAATAATGATGCTTCAGAGGCTTTGTATGAAACAATGCTGTGGGGACAGCACTCCTGGCTTACCTAGATGGAGATAGACAGATTATGTCTGAATTTGTGAGGATTAATGTAAGATGGGAAAACAGTCTAACAAAAAGTCACCTCCCAAGCACTGCTTTGTGTAGTTTGACAAGATATGGTTGTAGGATAAAGGTCATAAAGTGAAAGTTTACCAGTTTCTGTTACTGAGTATTAAGAAAAACAGAAAACAGAAGTTTATTTAAGTATTAAGATACTTAGTCTTTAAGGTGTTAAATTGGGTATTAAAATGCCAAGCTTGTTCTCTTCTGCCTCATATAGAATCATTAGCTAATTTATTTTACTGAAGTACAGTAAATGAGTTTATGAAATCTTCATCTGTATGGATCACTAATGAAGTTAATGTAAAGGTTGAGGGGGAGGCCTGGTCGCTTGAGGGGTCTATGACTAAAAGTCTGGCCTTGGTTGTGGAGATCTAGAAATTGGGTCACATCCAACATCCCAAATTAATTAGGCTCAAGGAAATTATTCTTACTAACCAAATTCAGAAGAATCCCATGTAGTGGTCATGCGCCTATTTACATTGAGAAATACACATTTCTCTGGTGCAGACCAAAAAGTCGTCAGTTGCTTCATGTGTATTTCTCTTTGAAAAGCCTTTAGGGGGAGTTGATTTGTACTAACTAGAAGATTAACTTGGTAAGACTGCAAGCAGCAATCAGTTTTTAAAACTTTTTTTATTTTGGAAAATTTAATGCAAAAGTAGGACAGTGTAGGTAACTTTGATTAACGTTCATCTCCAGTAAGATTCAGTGACCATTCTTACTCTGTGTGTCCCCTGTCCCTGTTATTTTCAGGCAAGTCTCAGACATACTTAATTTACAAATGTTTCTGCATATATCACTAAAAGACTTAAAATTTATTAATTTAAATAAATTGGGTAAACTTGAGTTCATACTGGTCTGGTGGGAGCCTGGTAATTGAGCCTGGTAATTGCTGTTCTGGCATCCTCCTTTTTGCAGGGTAGTGACACTCATCTTCACCCTTTTTGTTAAGACATCTTTTCTTCAAACGGATGATAATACAATAACTTTTCAAGTTGGATTAAAACATCTTTCTTTCCTTCTTAAGCTAATTATGTCATCCAGCCTAGAGACACCTTCTTTCCTAATATAACATTACTTACCTGCAGGTGATCTGTCTGGTTTCTTCCAATACAGTGGCACAGCCATATTTCTAAGGTGTGAGAACACTTTGACCACATGTGGGTTGAGTTCAGTCACTTGATTAAAAATTTTTAGAGATGTTAAAACTGAACAGTTTAGGGTGGAAGTGTTCTTAACTGTGTCTGTTCTGTGCTTTCAAAAATGTGTTGTAGATGAGCTGTGTGAGTATTTTTTAAATGTGCATAAAATGAAAAATACTTGAACTTGTGTATATTTTCTGTGGGGTGGGACTTCCTGCAGGGCTGGTTTTCAGGTTTGAGTTTGGACTGATTTTTAGTTTATGAAAAAATCCCCAGGTGACTGCTTTTTAAGAATTTTGTATGACAGTTGTTACACTTGTGTATGGTTTGGAAAAACAACAGAAATGTTTTGTGATATGTCTCTTCTGCTCCTCCTCTTCCTTTCCAGGAGCTACTAGTGTTAAGAATTATTTTTCCAAGTGGTTTTTGTGGGGAGGTGGGTGGTGGGTGATGTAATCATTTATATGTATGAATCTTTTAAAATATATCACAGTACAGCATATTTTCTGAATCTTGCTGTTTTCACTCAGTGTATTTAGAAACATTTGAGACATAGGAGATAGCAATTTTAAGTTTAAAAATGTAGTTTCAAAAGTCCATTTCAGTAAAAGAAGTAAATGTATTTTTCATGGTTGTATTAGATTTTTTAATTTCCTAATTTAAAAATGCAGTTTGAGAGTTTCATAGTTGATCTGTTTCTTCCCCTTGGCCATCCCAAATAGATCAGTTGTCATCAGCTTTTAAAAATGTTTAGGAACAACAGCTTCAGAAAACAGTTGGGCACAACTGTGTGGTAACTTCAGGCTGTTCCATCCCGAGATACATACCCTAGAGAAACATTTATGCATGTGTGCCAGAGGATGGATGTAAAAATGTCATAGCAGCATCATTTGTAATAGGAAGAAAGGAGGAAGCAAAGCAAACTGGAAAGACTTGAAATGTCCAGCAGACCAGGGGACACATATTGTGGTATTTTCCTATAGTGGGATTCCAAGAAGTCAGACTGAACTACCGCTACACATGTGAACATGGAGAGTCTCTGGTCAGAAAAGCAAGTTGCAGAAGAATAATCCAATTCCTTTTCTGTGAAAGTCAAAACCAGTCCGTAAATATATGGTAAATGGAAAGCAAGGAAATGATTTAACACGATTCAGTGTATTGGAGGGAGATCATGAAGGGCAAGATGGATCCTTCAGAAGAACTGGTGGTGATTGTTGAAGCTGGGTGGGTGGTTTCTTTTTTAAACTGTATGTGTATGTGCTTTTGTATGTATATTTCTTAATAAAATTTAAATTTTAAAAAATGGGAAAAGGTCTTGATGTAGGTAGTAAGTAGTAAAATAGATACATAAACAGTGTATTTCATGGAATTAAAGTGATAGCAGGTTTAAAGGGTATTGTTTCTCGAGTTCTGGACTTAGGGTCTTAATTGTAGTCTTTAAAAGCTAGAAAAAGGGCCTCCGTGTATGTTTTCTTTGTGATACATTATTTTTATCTTGAAGTAAGTTTCATTTGGGTGTCTGCCAGGAAACTGGTTCTGCTTCTGTATAAGCAGCTTCCAAGAAAGCTTTTTCTCTCAGATTTATACCAGTCTAGGAAGGAAAACTGCCATTCTACTGACCCATGGTTAACACATCCTTCCCTTTGTTCAAGTTACATTGTCACCTCAGAGGGGCTACTCTTGGCCCTTGTTTTACTGTTTAGAAGGACTTACATGAAGTGTTTAAATAATGTTTGCTCTGTAAAGGGGAAGTGGTTGAAATTTGAAAGGCACCTTGTTCAGTTCAGTCACTCAGTCGAGTCCGACTCTTTGTGACCCCATGAACTGCAGCACACCAGGCCTCCCTGTCCATCACCAACTCCCGGAGTCCACCCAAACCCATGGCCATTGTGTCAGTGATGCCATCCAACCATCTCATCCTCTGTCGTCCCCTTCTCCTGCCCTCAATCTTTCCCAGCATCAGGGTCTTTTCAAATGAATCAGCTCTCCGCGTCAGGTGGCCAAAGTATTGGAGCTTCAGCTTCAACATCAGTCCCTCCAGTGAACACCCAGGACTAATCTCCTTTAGGATGGGCTGGTTGGATGTCCTTACAGTCCAAGGGACTCTCAAGAGACCTCAACAATAACACACTTAAAAAGCATCAATTCTTCTGCACTCAGCTTTCTCTATAGTCCAACTCTTATATCCATAACATGACTACTGGAAAAACCATGGCCTTGACTAGAGTACATAAAATTCATGTAGTTAAAAGGCCTTGTATCAGTTACCAGTGGCCCTTGTACACTTCCAGTTATATACCCCAAATCACTTCGTTATATGAACCATAAGCATTCTAGACTGTTTCTAAATATGTTTTGGAAATCTTTTTAGGATAGCATTCTGGTAACTTGATTTGTTTCAATGACTTGAAAAATGACATAATCCTACAGTGGAATTGTATGTCACCCAGAAATTAAGTTTTTACAATCTGTGCATGAAATACATCATCATAATAATTCTTGGGACTTCCCTCCCAGTTTGGTGGTTAAGACTCTGTGCTTCCACTGCAGGGATGAGTTTGATCCCTGGTGGTGAGGGAGCTACGATCCCTGTCCCGGGTAGTGTGGTGAAAAATTTTTTTTTCATTAAAATTACTTGACACTTGAGATATTTAATCTTCAGCCTTAAAACTGTCGCTTCTAGAAAATACATTTGATGCAGGTTGTATTAACTTGAAATGGGTATGCATATTTAATTTTATCAACCTTGTGGTAATTGCTGTCCTTACTGATTTTTTGTACTTCACTAGGTGACACCTGTGCAGGTTCTATTGTAAGCTTTCCAATAGTACTGTTTTCAAATAAATTTATTCTACCATGTTCACTTAAAAGCAACCTAAAATCTTACTTTTCCACAAGCAGTGATTTGGGGCCATTAACCAATCTTCAGTCGATGCCTAAATTTATCTTCTTTGAGACAAATTGAAAATAACAGGGACAAAGCACTTGGGGATTGACCCCTTGTCATTCCCTGTCACACCCCTGGCAATGGAACACCAAGCTCTGGGTGGCATTGGCTTTCATTAGGGGGCATGCTATCTTACAAGTGTGACTTGAATGCCAGACTTATATTTGGTGCTGAGGTTCTCCTAACCAAAACCCCATGGGTACTAAGTAAACTGCAGATTTAGGTTTCATACTCATTTCATGAATAAAATGGTACACATTTCACTTGCACTATTCAGAACATTTTCCTTTTTTTTTTGGCAGTGGGTGAGATAAGTGTTGATGCAATGCCTTAGTGTCCCTTCACCCTTCATCAGAAGTGAGCTGTTGAGGATTTGGAGATGAGAGAGGGATGGCTTATTTCATTGTGCTTGCCCAGGAGGTCTCTGGTACTTTTTCCTTGATTCCATAAGGGTTAGAGATGACTTCACATTGGTGTGTAAAAAAGTGTGTATTAATGAAAGTTGGTAAATGGAGTCAGGCAGGAGTGCACTTTCAATGCTGTATGCTGTGCCTTGGCTTTTCTGTAAGTTGTTAGGTTGAAAAGTGTTTACTCAAGTTGTGTAAGTCCTGCCATTTAAAGGTTGTTGCTATGAGCTGTGTATGATGCCAAGATTCTTGACCTCCGGGCCAGTGGCAAGGCTTGATCGCTCAGAGCTTTTGTGTAATAAAGTTTTATTAAGTATAAAAGAAAACTTCTGACGCAGAGATCAGAAAGGGGCAGAAAGAGTGCCCTCTTGCTAGGTTTTAGCAAGAAGTTACATAAGCTGCTACTTAGAGAAAAGAATATCTCAAAACTCAAGAGAGTGGCACCAGACCCCTCACCCATAACATGCATTTTGAGATAGCATTGGCACAAGGTGAGTCATCCCGTGCCATAGACAACTGACGTGAATCTTGAAGAGAGGCAGGTTTCTAAACAAATGCATAGTTTTATTAACATAACTTAAGAGAACATTTCTATGAGTAAAACATACTAGTTTGTTGAGCCATTATTGGTTCTGAGTCTTAGGTGGAACCGACTTGAAGAAAGTCTAAAGTAAATACATAGTTCATTAACATAGCTTAAGCATTTCCATAAGAAAAACACATTGGTTAGCTCAAGGTTTGAGAAAAGTTCAGGTGGAACCAGGTGTCATGACAACATAGAATTTTTAAAGAAACCTTTTAATTTTGTATAGAGAAGGAAAAAATTACATCTGACACTTGTTTCCTCCTGTTGCTTAAGAGAAAAAAAAGTCTGATGCTTGGGGACACCTAGTCTTCCTGCCTGTTACCCTCTCACCATTTTGTAGATTTAAAAGTTGTAAAAAGGAAATGATGGTAAGAGATGGTTTTAGAAGCTAGGATCTTTAAACCAGAGTGTCAAGTGGGTCCTGACTTTCCCAGTTCCAATTAACTCACCCTGCCCTTAATGGAGTTGTGAACAGAGCCTGGCCATTTGTCTTGAGTCTCAGGAGTGCATACCTGTGCCTAATCAGGATTGGGGTGCAACTTTACAAACTAAACTTGCGTTGATAGGTATCGTACTTAAATTTTTAAAAATACTTAATATTTGTCAAAGTACTTTGAACGTACTCTACTCCCAAGCCTCGAGAAGTTGCAAAAGAAGGAAATAAGTACATACATGAAGTTAGCAAACTGTTAGATGCATCCAGACCATTATTTACAAAATATTGATTCCAGTTTTTCATTTCTGCAATTTAATACGTCATTTTTGCAGCATTGCTGTTGTAGCAGGGCTTCTCTAACAGAGATGGTGTATATTCTGTCAGTTCAGAGCTTCCATCTTTCATTAAAATGAGTTCTACTTCCTGAAAGTCCTGTAGTCTTTGAATGTCTTTGTCCTTAATATGAAAAAGAAGTTATATAACGGTTCATAAATACATGTAAAGTTATGATGAAAAGGTTTAATAAGATTGCCCCAGCATTGTTCTCTTTCCATTCATGGTAAACTAAGCAGTTAAGAATTGTTTTCCTTTTCTGTTTTTGTTTTTGTGTTTCAGACCTTGTTGCTGATTTCCAAAGGGAATAAAGTCTCAATTTTAAAAAGACTTTAGTCCGGGGCATTAAAAATATATATATATATCTGAAAGTATGATCATCCCACCACTTTTAGTTTACAAAGAATATACTGGTATTGGTGCCACGGCACCAATAAGAATTGCTAAAAGGCATTTTGAAAGTTGCTTTTTAAAAAATGCCCAAAGAGATAAGAATTTTCCTCAAGTTAAAAAATGAGATTTGTTTTTGAATCATAAAAATACAAATGCCCCCAGTTTTGTTTCCTGAGATTGCAAAGGCTTGACTTTGCTAAGCAGTTAAGAGTGGCTTTGTATTTTCTGTCCCCAGGACTAGTCAGCTTTGTGGAGATTGGAGGCTGGCCATACATACTGAGCTAGGGTTTTAAATTTGGTTGTTACTTGTAATTCAGACAATTTAAAAGAGTGAGTAAATTAAAGGTATGCAAATCTGTAAAAGCACCAGATTGAAAATAACCCAGCTACCATGTTTGGCTGTCCTGCAGTTAAAATGTCCAATGTCTTGGATTTGTTTTCATATTAGTAATACAAAAGCTAGTGATCGGCTTCAGTGAACATAATTTTACCCACCTAGAGCCCAGTCTCTATTTAGATAAACACCCTACCTTTCTGAGCAATGTGTTTGGTAGCTTTCTGATCTTCTCTACTTGCTCTGGGTTAATCCCCAGTTCACAGCAGCTTGCTTTCAGTAGATTTTGGTAACTCAGCTCTTGTCTATCCAGTTCAACTTCAATGAAGTCATTTTCTTTGTGGCTCTGAATTCTGATTTTAAGTACCAGCTCTGGATCACCCACAAATATATTTTTGTAAAAGAAACAAAATACCCATTTTAGACATCAATTATACAAAGAGCTGAATAATAATAAAATAATAAAAGGCATATATAAACTTTTAATTATCTGAAACTTTGATAGGAATGCTGGGCAAACTCAGGTGTATACCCCATTATACTCATCAAAAGGCAGTGTGAAGCCAGGGTCTAAAAAACTCAGTGTGTGACATGCAGTACCCTTGGCAATACATCTGTGTTGGGTGTGCCTTGTTGGGTGTGCTTTGTTGGCTGTTTGAAAAGTTTCAAGAAAATGTGAGCCCTGGGGCTCTATATTCTTAAGGGTGCAGATCATCCTGTTGATTCCTGTTGGATTCCCTGGGACCTCCAAGGTGAGAGGCGGATAAACAGGATAATTCTACCATCTTTGGAGACATCTTTGCGTTTCCCTGGTAGCTCAGCTGGTAAAGAATGTGCCTGCAAAGTGAGAGACCTGGGTTTGACCCCTGGGTTGGGAAGACCCTCTGTCACTCCCGTATTCTGGCCTGGAGAATTACATGGTCTGTATAGTCCTTGGGGTTGCAAAGAGTTGGACATGACTGAACGACTTTCACTTTTCACTTGGAGACAGTGGCATTGGTTTTAAGTCTTAAAACTTAATTGTCATAAGAAGGAGCAGTCTTGACTAAAGGTGGAAGAAGTTGATGAAGCCAAATGATGAAGTTGGCTTTGCAACATGACCTAGGGGTTGAATCCTCACCTAGAGGTGTCATCAGGTTTGGCAAGATCACCTGGGTCAGTTGGCAACTGTTGATTTGAGCTTCCTTGTTTATATTCGCCTGAGAAAGAATTGAAGGAGACGTGAGAAACAGCAGCAGCTCAGCATTTAGCTCTGCTAACTCTGCCAATTAGACAAGGGACAATAGAGCCCCATTGCCACTTTCTGCTCTGCAGCTCCTCACAGGAAAAAACTCAAAAAGGGCAGTTATTATACTCAGACTTGAATAGGAATTTTCCTTCATTGCTTAAATCATGAAAAGGAACTGAGATAGTATTTTTAAATGGTATGTAACCTGAAGAAGAAATATTTATAATCTGTGTGCTTAACTTGTTTCTACTTAAATATATTTGGCATTGAGAGTTTTGTGTCTCCAGATCTTTAGCAGAGTTGTACAGTTAAGAGAGTCCCTTAAATAAGGAGAAGTTTCTCAACTTGAGGGAAGGAAAAGGAGGGAACATTAGAGTATCCAGGTGCCAGGCCTTTTACATAGAATATCTTCCCAAGGCTACTCTGTGCTGTGCTAATCCCTGGGGAAATGATTCAAACAACAATTAAAAACCCAAAGTGACCTTTGTGCTGGTGTTTACAACAGGAGAGAGAGATTAATCAGGTGACCTCAGGTAAATGTGATATTACAGTTGGAGGCCTGGTGAGATCAAGATACAGAGTAGTGTGAAAAGCCTGGAAAGGGGTCAAGAAAGACCTCCCTGAAGGCTGAGTGACCTGACATCTGAAGGTTGAGTAAGCTTAACTAGATCCAGAGGGTGGAGAGAGAAGAGCTTTTCAGGGCCTGGTAACAGCAGAAGGCCCAGTGCAGCGAGGCAGTGGTTCTTTAGAAAGAAAAGCAATTCAGCATGGCTGAGTGTTTCAGGATTGTAGGGTTATCTACCAACCTCTGCCACCCAATCTGTGGTTGCTAGTCACGTGAATTGGGATATGCTCTAAGCATAAAATACGCACTGGATTTCAAAGACAGGAAAAAATGTAAAGTTCTTTTTAATTTTTAATATTGATTTTATGTTGAAATCATAGTTTTAATTTATTGGGTGAAGTAAATGTATTATAATTAATTTCACCTGCCTTTTTTTTTTCCCTCAAGAATGGCCCAGGGACCAGCAACATCAATGAAACCTGTGAGATGACAGAAAATCAGAATTTGGGGCCCTATCCCAGGTTTACTAAATCAGAATCTGAATTGTAGCAACATACCCAGATGACTGACATGTATATTAATATTTAAGAAGCACTGTTTTATACTAAATTGAGCTTCTACTTTTGTAGGTGTTTGTAGCTGTGTATGTATGGGCTTCCCAGGTGGCTCAGTGATAAAGACTTCATCTGCTAATGCAAGAGATGAAGGAGATGCACTTTGAATCCCCGGGTAGGAAAGATCCCCTGAAAGAGGAAATAGCAACCCATTCCAGTGTTCTTGCCTGGAGAATTCCTTGGAGAGAGGAGACTGGTGGTCCATGGGGTCGCAGAGAGTGAGCATGCATGCATGCATAAGTGTATGTGTGTGAGGGGCAACAAGGAAGGAAAGGAAGGGAAGAGGGTCAGGGCCCGAGGTGGGGGTGGGCAGGAGAGGCAGGGATAGAAAAAAATGACTCAGTGATTGATTCCAGGCTGGAGCTAATGTGTTGGTCCTTCAATGGACTGGAACCTGGTGGTCCGGAGTCGACGATAAGAAGTAAGAGAGAAAGAGGCTGATAGCACTTGTTGGTCCTTTAAGAGACCGGAACCTGGTGGTCCGGAGAGTAAGAGAGAGACAGAGGCTGGTATCCCCTGGTTTACACGGAAAGCCAATAGTCCTGTTCTTAGGGCTCGAGCTGCTGCACGTAGGCACCGGGCGCCCTCTCGAGTGGGTGAAGGCACAGTGCGCCTTCTTGAGAGGGGCTTAGAAGCCCAGGCAAGAAAGTGAGCTCAGCGGGCCTCCACACTCCAAGGAATTAGCCAGAAATAGAGAGAGAGAGAGAAAGAAAGGAATAGAATGAAAGAAAGAAAGACACGGGGACCAAAGCTCTGATGGAGCAAAGGTGTCACCTGCCTTTTCAATCTGGCTGCAAGAAAAAGTTTAATTACCTATGTGGCTTGTGTGCTAAGTCGCTTTAGTCTTGTCTGACTCTGTGCAATCCTATGGACTGTAGCCCGCCAGGCTCCTCTGTCCTTGGTATTCTCTAGGCAAGAATACTGGAGTGGGTTGCCGTGCCCTCCTCCAGGGGATCTTCCCAACACAGGGATTGAACCTGTGTCTCTTAGGTCTAACCTGCTTTGGTAGGTGGGTTCTTTACCACTAGTGCCTTATGTAATATTTTAATTGGACAGTGCTGGTGTGAGTGAAGGGTCTTTATTCTAGAACAGCGTCAGGCCATTTGACAGTGTTCAGGAGAAGACTGTCATAATCAGACTTGCATTTTGGAAAAAAGAATCAACAGAAACCTCATTGGCCTCACAATAATCCCATGGGGTATAGGTATTATTCCCATTTTAAGACAAGAAAATTGGGGCTGAAGGATAAAGTAACTTGGAGTTTGCTCCAGGAAATGGCAGGACCTGGATATGACCTAGTTAAGAGGAAAGTGAAAAGAAATTGTTAGTCATTCAGTCATGTCCAATTCTTTGTGATCCCATAGACTGTGGCCCTTTGTGATTCAAAAGGCCTGGCACCTGGCATCTGTCCATAATTCTCCAGGCAAGAATACTGGAGTGGGTAGCCGTTTCCTTCTTTCTTCAGGGTATCTTCCTGACCCACGGATTGAACCTGGGTCTCCTGCAATGCAGGCAGATTCTTTATTGTCCGAGCTACCAGGGAAAATGTGGCCCAGGGCAAAATGGCTACCCAAAGAATTGCAGCCTCCCCACCCAAATGCTGTTACCTGGATAGGGGTGGCTTGGGGCCCCTGCCTCTTCCCTGCCTGGTGGGCCTCAGAGCATGCCCTGCCTTGACCACCTTTTGCTTGAGTCGCTGCCGGTGACAAAGGCGACAGAGGAGTGAGGGGCTTTGGTGGAGGTTGGAGTGTGGTGGGCTGAGAGAGGGGAGTCACACATTCGAGCCACAGCTCCCGGTCTCTCAGCAGGTGCTCCATTGTCCCATCTGATTTGGCTTACAAAACAAACTCAAAACTATAAGAAATTTCAAACCAACAACCACAGAGCACTTAATCCCCAGCGTGAGGTCTGTCTGCATGTAGCACTCTGCACAACTGCTCTGATCTCAGGCCCATTGAAGTCAGTTCTGCTTGGGGCTTAAACTGTACTTTTTCCACACTGCTAAATGCTTCTCCCAAAGATAAGATAGTCTTACCCAGTGAAGCTCTCTTGCAGGACAGAAATAATGTCCCTGTGCCCTTCCACTCTAGTCGTGGAGGGAGCTCCGTGCTGGCCTGGGAGACTTGAGTGACCCAGACACCTGAACTGGAACAATGCCCTTCTCACCCTTTCACTGCTCACTGCACACAGCATGAGATGTCCCCCACCTTGCCCTACCACATGCAAAAGCATTTCATTTTTGTGATGGACCTGTGGATGGACAGGGTTTCTTAGAGATCAGAAAGCATGCTCTTTGAAGTCTGGAAGATTTGAATCTGAATTTTTCCTATGCTATTTAGTAGCAGTGACACCATAGAGAAGTCACTTAACCCTTCTGAGCCTGTTTCCTGATCTGGAAAATGGGATTAATAATTTCTACCTCACAAGATTATAAGAAGGAATGAGAAAATGCACAGAAAATACAACCACTCCTAGCGTGTACTGAGCACCAGTATTTGCTGGCTGCTATTATTAATTATAGCCATTGATACTTGCCTCCCTCTGAAAGGACCCATGGCCTACTTGCCTCCCTCTGAAAGGACCCATGGCCTACTTGCTCTGCTCTTGACTACACCACTGGCAGAGTGGAGAAGGGCACCCCACCCCTCCTCAGGCCCCTCCCCTATCCTCCTTGACAACCATGTTGGAAACAGGGTTTAAAGACTCACCTGAGGGCTTCTTCACATCCAGCTGGGGTTCAGCCATGAGTAAGTTCTATGGTCTGTCAGATCAGCAGCCCCTCCAGCATTTATTCTGAGATTCCAATCAAATAAAAGGCATGTTTTAAAGCTTCAGTGCATCTGTCTGCTTTGAAACTATGTGTTCTTGTCACTGGCCAGTGAGATGGGGCAGGGTTGGCATATTTTACAGATAGGCAAACTAAGGCTGCGATGCATCGTATGACTTGCACAGGATGCTGCAACTGAAGGGACTGAAATTCAGTGCTCTCTCCTCTCAGCCTGTGTCCATGGGGAAGCAGTGCAGGCTAATAATGCCACCTAAAGGCCCCTGAGAGGGGAGGTCTTTGGGGGCACAGCCCTCCTTGGGAAAGGTTAGTAGCTACTACCTCAAGGGATAAGAAAAGTCAACAGTATCTTGAACAGACTCCCTCTCCTCCCCAATTCTCTCTCGCCTTTGTCCCAGCACCTTCTTCATCTGTGCATGACAAGAAAGCAAGAACACCTGGGCACATACCTTGGGAGACTCCTCTTTGGCAAGGATCCTGAGTCCTTGATTCCTAACATCAAAATGGTGAAGGCAGGGGCTGGAGCAGGAGGTTTTATGAAGGGTGGGTGGGGCTGGGCAAAGTCCTTGGGCAGGGCTGCAGTCTCAAAGGGCTGAAGGTAGGAACTCACATATTCGGGATGACTCTCCCAGTTCATTGAACACCAGTGTCAGAAGTGGCATCAGGTGGGGCTCATTATCATGAGGCTAGAAGCAACCGTGGAGATCAGCGCCCATAGGTTTCTCAAAGAGAGCTGTGCATTGAAATCACCTGCAAAGCGTGATGCGAGTGTCGGGATTCTACCCTCCAGTGAGTCCTGTTTAATTTGTCTGGGGTGTAGTCTGGGCCCTGAAATTTTAAGAGCCCCCCAGCTGATTTTAATGTGTGGCCAAAGCTGAAAGTTTTGACCAAACTGCCTAAAGTGCAAATGGGGAAATGGAGACCCAAAGTATACAAATGCTCCCTGATTGTCACAGGGGCAGCTGAGCACAGGCCTGGGGCTGGATCTGGGTCACCTTGTTGCCAACCTGATGCTGTCTCCTCAGCATGCCTGGTGTCCTTCTGCCAAGAATGCAGGAGGCCCCACCCTGGCAGAGAGAAGGAAGCAGCAGGGTTTCACCTGGCTTGACCTCCTAAGGGAGGGGAGGAAAATGCACTTTGGCCAGCCCCGCTGCCAGGGTGTGTCACCCTTAAACAGAGCCACCCTCCACCCCTCACCTGAGTGGATGGGGCTGTGAAGGTAGAGAGACTGGGGATAAAAGTGCTTGTGCTTTGAGGGGGAGCCTCTTGCATCCCCAATGTCCCAATGTCACTTGCTTGCTCTGTCCATACACTTGCCCACTCCCCATTCACTGGTTCACTCATTCATGCATTCTCTGAACAATACTCACCTTTTCTTGTTTCGGGGAACCTTCTTTTTTCTTTATTTATTGATTGCACTGTGCAATTGTGGGATCTCAGTTCCCAGACCAGGGATTGATTAACATCTCCAGGCCATGGTAGTGAAAGTCCAGAATCCTAGCCACTAGGCCACCAGGGAACTCCCTTGTATTTTTATTTTTTAAATTAAGTAAATACATGCTCTAGAGTAAAAAGTCTAGTGTTAAAAATCAGAGCCTATTAGCAAGTGAGAGCGAAATGTTTGGAGGCAGCCACACAGGCCTGGGCATGAGTCTTTTTTCATTCATTATGTTGGGCAGTTAAGGGACCCTTCTATTTAAATATTAGCTTTTGTTGGGGGGGATTGGGGGGTAGTTTTTAATTTTGATAGAGTTTTAAATTTACAGAAAAGTTGCAAGAATATATACCATTTACCAATGATTAACAATTTGTCATATTTGCTTTAATTCTCTCTTCCTTGGTATATATATGCATGTGTATGTGTATAATAAACACACACACATTTCCCCCTGAAATTTGAAAGTATGTTGTAGACATGCTCCTTTATTCCTTTATCCCTAAAGACTTCAGGCTGTATTTCCTAATATCAAAGGTATTCTCTTATATATTCAAGATATGAGGATCAAAATCAGGGAATCTAACTTTGATATAATGCTCTTAGCTAAACCATAGTCCATACTCAAATTTTCCAATCAACCCAACAGTATCATTTTTAATGTTTTTCCCTGGCCCAGGGTTCCATTCAGAGTTATGCATCATGTTTAATTTTCATGTCTCATACATTAATCTAGAAATGTGCTTCAGCCTTTCTTTTTTTTTTTTTTTTTTTTTTTTTTTATTTTTTTTTTTTTTTNACTTTTACCATTTTTTAGGGCAAATCTTTAAAATTGGCCCTAAAACCGCTATAATGCAAAAAAAGCTTAAAGACAGGTGTTTTCTTTTCTTTTTTTTTTTTATTTATTTTTTTTTTTTAATTTTTATTAGTTGGAGGCTAATTACTTTACATCATTACAGTAGTTTTTGTTATACATTGATATGAATTAGCCATGGATTTACATGTATTCTCAGCCTTTCTTTATTATCCTAATATTGACATTTTTGAAAAGTCCAAGTGAGCGATTTTGTGGTTTGTCCCTTACTTGGGTTTGTCCAGTGTTTTGTTGTGATTAGGACCAGATTATGTGCTTTGGTTGGGATAGCACAGAAGTGGTATGTCTTTCTTAGCACATAATAATGGGAGGCACATCTTGGTTTGTCCCATCTTAGGGGATGGTGACTTCAGTTACCTGTGAAAGGAATTGTCTGCCAGGTTTTTCTATTGTAAAGTATGTCTTTTTTCCCTTTCTTAATTAAGATGTAACTTATGAGGAGGTACTGTGAAACCATGCAGATATCCTATTCCTTCTTCAAATATCCTATTCCTTCCTTCACTCCAGTTTCCAGAATCCACTGAAGGTTTTACTTGAGTCAGTGGTTACTGTGATGATTGCAAAATGTTGATACTCTGGTTCCATTTTCCTTTCTACATTAATTTCTTATTCTACTATAAGAAAGTACTTTCCTTCTCCTTCACTCATTTATCATCTGTGTGGGCTCATGGATTCAGTGAGTTATAATCCATTATTCCCTTTATTTATGTTGGTGCTCAGATTATCCCAACTGTGTACAGTGTCTACTTACAGCTATTTCCTATATCCTGTTATCCTTTCCCATATCCATCACTTTATGAGCACTTTCTTACTTCTTGGCGTATCAACTTTTACTTTCCCTGCCTCAGCCCTGGAGTCCATCATTTCTCCAAGGAGCCACATTCTGTTCAGTGGGGAACAGTATACTCATTCCTATGTGGATGCCAAGAAGAATGCTTCTAGGTCCTTTTAGTGGAAAGCTAGGGACACACATACACACATATGTCTGTACCTATTTCTTGTGTGTATATTAATCTATTAAATACAGCAAGTTCATACTGACACTTCTGGTTCCATTTAAAAACAAAAGAATTTTCCCTCACTTTCTCCAATTCCATTTTGTAGTTCTTTTCCAACTGTGGGAAATCTGGCTCCTAACATCTTTAATATATTTACTCATTCTCTCAGTCTGACAATACACAGACCAAGTAGTTTCAGAATTGCTTATTTGAAATACAGTTGGATTGATTGTGTTTGCATTTTAGGATTCTTCCCAATCCTTATATATATATATATATATATATTTTTTTTTTTTGAGTATATAGCTTGATTCTAAGAGTCAAAACTGTTCAAAAATTAGGGTCGAGTCACTCAACATTTCCATGCTTTCCCTCTGTGCTCCTCTGTCCCCTGCAGGAAGTTACATCCTCAGTTTCTGACTTCCGGTTTTTGATTTTGAAAAATCAAACAGATACTTGTGTATTTCCTTATTATTCCTTTCTTATAGAAAAAGTGGTATAAAAATTATTTTCTATTTTGCTTTTTTTCCCACTAAACAATATATCTAGAAATCATTCCATATCAGTTCATAGATATCTTTCTCACCTTCCCCCTACCCTCTACCGTGTGGGGATTCTATAGTTTATTTACCAAATTGTTTATGTACAGGTATTCAGTATGTTTCCAATATTTTGCAGTTACAAACAGTGATGTAATTAGTAATATTGTATCCATGTATTTTTTTATTATTGGAGATACATATTCTGGGTAAATTCCTAGATGTGGAATTCGTTGGTCAAAAGTAAACACAAACTTTTTGTTAGCTATTACTATATTTCCCTCCATGAATGTTTAACCATTTTTCATTCCTATCAGCCACATGTGAGAGCAACATCCACAGTGTTGTAAAGTTTTGTAATTTTTCCAATCAGATAGTAAGGGATAAAATGTAAAATGGTAGGTTTTATTATTATTGAGGTATGGTGAGACCAACAGATCAGGAGACAACTGACATTGAAAAGATAGTTTGTTACAGTTCCAGAGAGGAGGAGGACATGCCATGCCACACAGGGCCACACAGAAAGGCCCCAGGGTTGGCCAGGAGGCAGAATGCGGGGGGGGGGGGGGGGGGGAAGAAATGTAGAACAGAGCCTTTTTTTCATGGGAAGTAGGAAATTGGCTAGCTGAGCGCTGAAGAATTGATGCTTTTGAACTGTGGTTTTGGAGAACACTCTTGAGAGTCCCTTGGACTGCAAGGAGATCCAACCAGTCCATCCTAACAGAGATCAGTCCTGGGTGTTCATTGGAAGGACTGATGCTGAAGCTGAAACTCCAATACTTTGGCCACCTCATGCAAGGAAAAGACCCTGATGCTGGGAGGGGTTGGGGGCAGAAGGAGAAAGGGACGACAGAGGATGAGATGGCTGGACAGCATCACCAATGCAATGAACATGAACTTGGACAAACTTCAGGAGATGGTGAGGGACAGGGAGGGAGACCTGGCGGGCTGCAGTCCATGAGGTGGCAGAGAGTCAGACAGGACTGGGTGACTGAACAACAGCAGCAGCAGCAACAGTAATGATTCCATCTGTTCTGCAAAGATAGGATGTAAGAGCTCTGTATCAGTTGTTACTGTTGTTATTGCTTCATAGAACCCTGGTTGGCCTTAGAGA